CTCGAAGTGGGGGACAAAAGGTCCATACTCAACTGAATAGGAGCATGCTCAGAGAGTACAGGAGATCCAATAGAGGCTGCTAGTACTCTAGGTAAGTCGCCATGTCTGGTGAAAAAGTAGTCAATTCTCGAGTAGGATTGATGAACCGTCGAGTAATAAGTAAAGTCCCGATCCACCGGGTACAGGGCATGCCACACGTCCATTAGGTGGAACTGCTGGAGCGCCAGCTTTAGCTTTCGAAGGTAGGAGAATGAGAGATGGGAGGCACCTCTAGAGGTGTCTATAGTGGGATCCAAAGCCACATTGAAATCCCCCCCCCCCAATATCAGAGTTCCCTCCTGGAATTCCTCCAAGCGGGTAAGAAAGGATCGCAGGAATTGCAACTGTTCCGAATTGGGAAGGTACACATTAGCCAGCGTCACCGTGGTCACTCCCATAGTCCCTTCACTATCAAGAACCTCCCTAGCTCATCCACCAGCTGGTCGACCAACGTCCATGCCACCGATTTAGAGATGAGAATGCTCACTCCCTTAGACCTGGAGAGCGGCGTCGCAGCGTGATACACCACTGGATAATCCCGGTTACGCAGTGTGGGAACCGCTTCCGGTTGAAATGAGTTTCCTGTATAAAGGCCACCTGGGCTTCTGCGCATCGCAAATCAGCGAGCAACCTGGATCTTTTTTCGGGGATATTAAGCCCCCTAGCGTTCAGGGAATATAGCGAAAGAGGGGCCATGATCCTTGGGCAGTTAGAGGAGGGTCTGAGGGCAGGCAAGAGGGGAAGGAGGGTAGGAGTAGAGGATGGGGAGGGGGCAAAATACCAGATGAAAGGGTGAGGTTAAGGCAAGTGGAGAGAAGGGGGGTGCAGTGAGTAAAGAGAGAAAAGAGTAAAGAGAAGATAGCTGACACTGACTACAGGTCAGCCAGTAATTTTTCGTTACGCCCACCCCTGCACCGATAGGGTGTGGGCGTGTATCCTATGGGGGTAAAGTTGTCACAAAACAGTGGTCAAAAAACAATGGCAAGAAGAAGATGCATCAACCCGGCAACTCAGCCTAACATGGCAAATATATGCATAGTAATGGCATAAAATAACAGTCCCCGTACAATGAAGCTCGTACAGTCATGGAGCAAGAGAGCGCCGCCCCACGGCACCCACCGGGGGGGCCACCCGGTCGCAGCCCTCTCTCCCCCCACAAAAGTCCCGCCACCCCACATTCCAAGGACCACACCTAGGGAGAAAAAGGTTAACCTGACATTAAACACACCCTGCATGTATCCCGTATGTCCCTCTACCCAGTGTAGGGCGAGGGGGGACTCCCCTCAGACTCGCCCGGGCAGCAGGATAGGAACCCCCCTATGACTAGTGTAACCCAGTAACATAACATAACTTAACGTAACCCTCCTAGATAGAGCTAGCTGCCACTGGGGTATGTAAGATCACAGCTGAACCTGGGATAGCGAGTCGGGTTCCCTCAAGAGAGTTCATCAGGCTTCACTTCACTTGCATGTGAAGGGCCAGGGACCAGCCGCTGACTGGCTCGGTTACGGGATCTCCCCCTCCTGGACGGCCCAGCCGGAAGTGGGGCCAAGGATGAGCGGTCCTCTGAAAAGTCCAACCAGTTTGGGATCGAGATCGCCTCTGAGCCCAGGAAAGCAAACAAGTCTGGCAGCTGTTGGGGACGATGTAGAAAAAAGGATTGGTCTCCTCGCCTCACAATTAGATGGAACGGGTGGCCCCACCTGTAAGAAGCATCAGCAGAGCGCACAATCTCCAATAGGGGCCTCAGAGATCTTCGCATACGGAGGGTATGCCTGGAGAGATCGGGCATAATTTGAATATGTGCTCCATCAAAGTCTATGGGTCCCTTGTGCCAGGCCTGCCGCAGGATCTCCTCCTTGATGGAATAAAAGTGTACCCTGCACAACACATCCCTGGGTGGGGAATCAGCCAAGGCCGCAGGTCGGGCACCCATAACTCTATGCACCCGATCCAGCTCCAACTCCGTTGCCGGGGGCTTATTCAGGTATTGATTTAGAATCGCCAGAACTGTGGAACGTAAATCCCGTCCTGCTGTGGCTTCAGTGATACCCCTCACCCGCAGATTATTGCGCCCATTACGGTTTTCACCGTCATCTAGTCTGAGAAAGGCCGTGGTGATCTGGGCGCCCATGCCCGAGTGTACTGTTTCCAGGGCCGCCACCTGCTGGGTCAGAGAGGTTGTAGACTCCTCTACTGTCGATATGAGGCCACCCTCTGCCCAATATCTTGTACCTCCTGCCTGAGGGCCGCCACAATGCGCGCGGCCATGTCCTCCAGGTCTCCCTTTGTAGTGAGGCGCGGGAGAATCTCTCTCCAGTCCCCCCCCCCCCTCTCCTACCTCGGGTACCGTTCGGACACCGGAATCATCTGGTTGCAGGTCCGGCGAGGGAATCGGCGATGGCTGACGATCCCGCGATAGGCCGGCCACATCAGAGGGAGGCGCCACCAGCTTACTCCGGGTCTTTGAAGGAGTGGGGCCTGTTGTCGCGGAGCGTGTAGTCGCCATGCTGGACGCGGCAAATATATCAATTTCCTGCGTGTATTGTAATGCAACCCTCAGCAACAGCGGATCCGTATTTAAAAAAAATCTTGCCATGTTGTTCAACTTCATTTACAGGGGTAATATTAGTTCCCGTTTCAAAGAAATTCGGATCCGAAATTCGTTAACGGAATTTCGTATTTCGGATATAATTCGGAAACTGCAATTCGGATTTCGGATGCTTCCGAATTTACGAATTTCAGGAAAATTTGTACGAATTTCGATTCGTAACTAAACGAATCGCACATGTCTACTCTTCACCCTTTTGTGAATAACCCTGAAAGTATAAGTCACCAGTATTGACTGTAGGCTCCTTGCATCCCCATTACTGACTTACCGTGCACTGTGTCTCTCCGTTTGGGTGGACATCTTGGTAGAGCCAAGGCTTTGATTCCACATATCAGAGCATCCCTCCTAATGACTGGTGATCTGTTAACTAGTGAGGGAATATTCAAAAAGCAACAGGTGTGGTTCACAAAGTACATCAGCAGCAGCAGGGAAGTGAGTGTTGTGCATATTGCTCTACAAGTAGCAGCATAGTCATGATATCACCAAATCTCACTATAAATTTCATGAAACAAGCAGCAAGAGGTAGCAGTGTCTTTAAGATCTCACACAGCAGATAAACAGCTATAAGGGATATAGGCAGAGGCCCTGGTGTATTTTGATTATGTGCTGCCCTAGGCAAGACTAAAATCGGCACCCCTAATCTAAATTTGCCCCACCCCTTCCTGTTTAAGACCAACCCCTTAATTTGTAAACTCCACCCCTTCATCTTTAGGGTCCACCTTTTCCTCTTAGAGCTCCACCTCTTCCTTGCTGTACATTAAAAGTGGATTATAAATGCCTATATTTTGTTGTTGTTGGAGTACAAATCCCAGCAATACATTATATAGCAATGCAGAATACCCCCGGCTATAGAGGACTACAAATCCCAGCAATGCATTATACAGCATTGCTGAAAGGCACCTGGCTATAGAAGACTACAAATCCCAGGAATACATTGCGCAGCAATGCAGAATAATATGAAGCTACTTACTCTGTGCTGCTCTGGGGTGCCGGCCGAAAAATCTCAGGAGGGCTATGCGGGGTCTCACGGGGATGTGTTGGGTATCAGGAGGGTGTGTGGGGGTCTCAGGGGGCCTGTGCTTCATCAATGCTCGGGTTCCGGTCCAGTGTGATTGCAAAAAAAAAAAGTGCATGCACTATTTTTTGCGATTTCACTGGACTGGAACTTGGGCTTTGCTGTACCACACATTCTGGTGCGGGCGATCTCACTGTCGGGCATGCCTGTGGTGCCATTGACTTGAATGGCATTTCCACACCCCCTCCCACCCCTGAAAGGCAGGGAGGCTTGTATGCGATCCAGTGTGTCCTGGCCACTAACTGTGCTGGAACGCACTGGATTAGGTGTGAACAAGCTCTAAATATAATAGATCCCAGCACACATGGCTGCCTGTGGTAAAGGTGACACCTGTACCACAGGTACATCTGTAAGGGCTTGTTCACACCAATTGTGGTGCGTTCCAGAGTGGTAGCTGCTGGAACACCCCACAATCACTCACAAAACTTCCCCTGCATTCTGGGGCAGGAGGGGACTGTCAATGGCACAGCAGCCATGCCCCCCTGCCTGCAGTGCGATCAGACGCATGGCAAAACATTGCCTGCATTCCGTTCCACAGCAAATGCAAAAAATAGAGCATGCAGCATCTGGAACACACCGCAGTTGGTGTGAACAAGCCCCAACAGATCTCTGCACACAGGTATATATAATAGAACGCAGGGATTTCTATACCTGTGTGCAGAGATCTTTTAAACAAGGCTGCTGTAGTACACACTGCACTGGCAGTGATCTTTCAGTGCTCCACAGGACCCCATCCCACACTGCTCTGCCCAGTCCCTTACCTTCAGCAGTCAGATAGCAGCTGAGCTCATTGGGCTGCCGCTGGGCTGCCTTTGTTCAGATCCCTGGGGGTGCTTGCTTCGTTCTCCTGCCATCCACAGCTGTGCTCTTCGGTGCCAGGCAGCAGGAGCCTGTCCCTGCCCCCAGCCTATCAGCCGTGGAGTATTCTTCTGCTCCGCTAGAAAGTGAAACTGAAAGTAGCATGGTCAGACTCTCCTGCTGCTGCTGTATGCCACTGGATCATCCAGGATGGATCATCGCTAGGATCGTAGGAGAAGGGGAACGAGTCGCCTCACTGGTTTGGGGGCGGCATTTTTTGCTGCCCCCTTGGAAGTGCCGCCCAAGGCAAACGTCTTGTTTGCCTTGCAGTGGATAAGCCCCTGAGCCCAGGTGTGTCTGGGCAACTTCCTTGACAGGAAATACATTGCCATTTATCAGGAGGAATTCGAGACAGAAAATACTGCTTAAGCACAACTAACATTTCAAGATGTTGCCTGTAGCATAGCAGATCTTCACATTTTGACTTTGAGGTCCACTTTAAGGGATCATGTTCACAATCTCATGTGAACCTGCAATACAGGCATTACTATAATCTCCATAGCAATTTTTCACTGCTATTTTGGATCTACTTTTAGTAAATCAGGCTCGCTGAGTGAGCCAAATTATATTGTTATTTGGTAGACTTGCTGATCATATACTAAAAGCAATGGGAAACAATTTCTTTGAAAAAGTATAGATTTCTTAATTTGTACCATAATACTTACTTTGCTGACCATTATTATTCGCACAAGGACCACATTAATATGGGTACCCAATGACTCATCATGGTAGATTTCATTCACCTGGGAAAAAAGGTAAATTGAGGTTAAATAATGCTTCTGATAAAGAACCTATTTAGGGAAAAATTCTGATATTTATTTTTCACTTGTTTTTATTATTATAAAATGGTCACATGTCCTAGTGACATGTGCCAGAGTTCCAGGAAGTAAAGAGAGATATAGTAATCTGCCCTTGGTAAAAATGGCCACTGTGAGAAGAATGGGGATTAAAAGAAAAAATGTATGCAAATAATAAAAATCCTGCAATTATTTATAGGTGTCTATTTGTAGATTTCCATTACTAAACATTTCTAAAGGTGTCTTTGTTGTAATTTCAAAGATATGGGTAGAGGTCCTCTTTAACTGTATTTGTGCTTTGGGTGCCATTAAGAACACATTGCAATGCACATACATAGCCTTATCACATGTTGTGGTGTGAGAGTCATAACTGTTATAAACAAAGTATTTATTTTTTAGTACTTTTATTACAATTTAAAATAGAATATAAACCTCTTAAAATAAGACTTGCTGACATAATTTTAAATACTGTACATTAAACAGAATTCAAACAGTATGAGATCTGTTTGT